TGGGACTGACCTTTCTCCCCGACCATCAGCTGGAAGCCGAGATGTCCCTGGAGGTGGGGGTCCAGGCCTACTTGGACAAGAACTACGTCGTGCCTGAGGGAGGGGTAAATATCCTGTCTAACTATCTCACTATTTTTTATGTTGGTTAATGGTTACCCCATTCATTGTTGGCTCGAACAAACCTCGTGTCAGTAACGAGAATCCGCCTAAACACCGTGCCCTACTTTCTGTCTATGTGTCTATAAGTTTATCTTTCTGTTTACCTGTCTATTTAAACTATTTTTATGTTCATTGATGGATGGTGGCAGTCGTTCCCATGAGAATCCGCCTAAAAAAAACTGCGCCCAACTATCTGTCTATCTGTCTATGTGTCTATCTTTCTATCTGTCTATCTGTCTATAAGTTTATCTTTCTGTTTACCTGTCTATCTGAAACTATTTTTATGTTCATTGGATGGTGGTGATGGAAATAATGTACCATGAAAAAAACTGCCCCCAACTTATTGCCTAGGTCAAAACCGAGATGCTCTGTCCCAAGCGCCACGGCCTGGCTCTCTCTGACGACACCGGTCTCCTCTCCTTCTACTCACGCGTGGAAACGACGTACCACAACGGGTANATTTTTACTTAAAGCTGGGTTATAAAATATTTACTTTAGAAAAATTAGATATTTACACTAATTTGAAATCTAGACTTATTTACGTTTTAATTGCGTAATTGGAGCCAAAATATTATGCGTTTACATTGCTTATGCAATTTGGATAGCTGGGACAGCTGAGCCGGTAGAAACTCTTTTTCTAACGGCAAATCATGAACTTTCTGAAGCATCTAGTTGGTTTCAGTCTGATAAATTAACATTTAATGTTTCAAAATCCAAATATATTGTATTTAGAAATTAATCCATGCCATTTAAAGATTAGGGTTATAATCTCAAAATAGGAAATGAAAATATTGAACGAATAGGTTCAACTTGCAAAGATAAATATTTCAAGTTTGTCGGCGTAAAATTTGATGAACCTTTGAACTGGAATTATCAAATAGAGTGTATTTGTGAATTAATTATCAAGTGCAATTTTTGTCCTAAGAAGCGTTAAAACATAAGAAATATAGTTTATGAAGGTTTCATAAAATCTCAATTAAAATATGGTATTTTAGTAAGGGGGTCATTAACAAACAATAAATAGGAAAATTATTTAAACTTCAAAAGAAAGCAATACAGAATTTGTAAGCTAAAGGATATTCACAGCATACAGATTCATTGTTTTCTAAACTTGGAATGCTGATATCCATAAACATAATACTTCTATTTTCATATATAAATATATAAAAGAAAACCTTCCTTCGTCTTTTAATGGAATGGTTGCTCCATTTGTAGAACCTAGGACACAACGTTTTAAATTGTAATTAGTAAGAAACAAATACATTTTCCAAAAATATTACTAATGAGAATTTGGAACAGTGTTTAAACAATCATTTAATGATCGTTTAACGATCGTTTACAAAAATAATTAACAACCCTACTCGCAGGGACAAGGAGTTCTGAGTCTAAAACTAAAGAATGAAAAGTTTTGACTTAAATTTTAAGTTCATGGTTACATGCCACTTCTGACTTAATTTAAACTTGAACTTTAACCATGAGGTTAAATGTTTAATTACGATATATTTAAAAGTAAAAACCTTGATTTAATAAATTTCACGTTTTAGATTAATTAATGTTTGCATGTAAACCCAAAATACGGTTGTAACTAGAAATATGTTTTGTTCTCCGTCACGTAAATAACTTGAAATTTAAAAAACAGCTGATTACCGAATACCGATACTTACGTTAATAATTCTTTAAATCCTTTTCTCTGATTGGTTCAGATTTTTCCTGGGAAATTCAAATTTAAAATTGAGAAAGTTTAATATTAAAGTAGCTATTCATTATTTTAAAGAACTTTTAACCTCAAACTTAAAATTCGCGCATTCTTTAGTTTTAGACTCAGGTGTTCTAAATACTTAAGGGTGAGGATCACGTCCCTACTTACAATGTCTGGCAAGCCAGCAGCTCTCCTGTCAAAATTAAGGTAGACAGTGCCCAGAGAAGTGTGGTACAAGGTTAACTGAGGACAACCATGCAACATAATGACCTCCTTCTTGGTAGTGTTGAACAGCATCGCCAGGTTATCCGATATCATCATGCTGGTTCCTTCTGGTCTCAAGCTGACAGAAAGAATCTTCTTATAGGGACATGTAGCTGGTTGCTCAACCAGGAGGTAAACTTTGGGTCTGTCCAGGCACCAATTGCGGTTAAAAAATGAGGGAAGAGCAGTTCTGGAGAACTTAGCAGCTGTCTGACCTCCTCTGGTTCTGATGTAGACCTCCCAGAGCATTGAAAACTTGATTGAAAACCTGATAAAATGGGAGGGACACACCCTGACAGTAGGTATTCGTAGGATGCACGGTGATGGAACCATCCTCTACATACTGGTAGAGGATGGTGTCACCAGGAGAGATCTTCAGTTTCTTGCCATCCAGAGCCCTTCTTCGCAGCCAGGCATTGTTCAAGAGTCACCGGCTCCTCCGTCTCTACCTCGGGGACGTCCATGAACTTCCAATGCGAGTA